GCGCGACACGACCACCACGGCGCGACACCTTCCATCTCCACGGCGTGGCAACAGGCGCGGCGACCATCTCCCTCACGATAGAAGTCCAGCCCCACGGCGTGGCACCAGCACCATCACGGCGCGGAAGCACCTGCACGGCACGGCCCTTTCACCCCTCCGCGGCGCGACATCTTCCTCACGGCGTGAGTCCCACCTGCTTTTTCACGAGCTCCGCCCAGATTTTAGGGCTGCGGCCGCGACTTCTCCTCCGCGGCCGCGGCGAACAACAAGCAGCTCCCAGCGCTCAACTTCAGAGGGGAAAATTCGCGGCCTCGGAGCGTGTCGCGGCCGCGGATCTCTTCTTCACCGTGGCCCACGAGCCCCTCCGCGGCCGCGACCTTCGCGCAGATAGTTTTTTTATTAGAGCAGATTTTGTGTTTTTCCGATTATTCACGATCGGGCATCCTAGGTTTTGAGATATTTTGGGGTGGTTCCTTCTTTTCTTCTTTCCCAACTCGTTTTTTTACTTTTCTTTTATTAATTTTGCACGTAGAACACGGATCGGATTTCGGATTTTGCTATTTCTCTCGGATTAATCTTGTTTACCGGATTGACATCCAATTTCCATTAATCGTAAGTTTTTCGTTATATCTAATCTATGGATTTATTCGTTTCGATTATGGATGATTGTGTCGATTATTCGATCATGAGTAGCTAAATTCAATTGCTAAGGATTAGGGGATTGATGTTTTAATTCGTTCGTGATTGTCGGGCTTGAGATTGTTCAATTTGTACGAGTCGAGCTTTTGATAGGGTTTTTCAATTATTATATTTGAATATTGAGGATTATTGAAGGGTGACACTTCAATTTCCAATTGATTTCAATTGAGTTCGATTTATTCTTGTTTGTAGTTGTTAATTCTAAACGGGCTAGTTGACTAATCATCTTCTAGTCTAAGTTAATCGACTCTTATAACCGAAAGGGGAGGAGTCGGTCGAAATAAGCTCGTATGAACTAGGCTTGTTCGTAGTTGTATTGCCTAGGCGTTAATTGAATTGTTAATTTGTCGTTTAAGCTTGTTCTCTTGTTACGAACAGTTATTGAGAATGAAAACTTGAACGATAGGTTATTCAAATCATTTAGCCGAATAATCTCTTGCCCATCAATTGCATTTTCGGACCAAAACGGATATCTCCGACTCCCTAGCTCGTTTAATCCTATTTGTTCTTCGTCTTTGCTTGCTACTTTTATTGTTTAATTTAATTATTTGCAGTAGTTGATAATTATAGACCAATCCAATTATTTGAACTAGAGTGTTTAGGAATTTTATTTCTTTTATTTCTTTTTGTGTTCTTGAATAAACGTGCATTATATTCCGGCTAACCTTCCTCGTGAGACACGACCCGGTGTCCGAATCTTTCGATTATACTCCGGAAAATATTTACAACAAAATTGGCGCCGTTGCCGGGAAATGTTTAGGATGTATTTTGTGCGCTTATTTTAATTTATTTTTCGTGTTTCTCTTGTGTTCTTTTTAATTATTTTGTGCGCTTATTCAATTTATTTCTCTTGTATTCTTATTAACCGGTGTGAAAAATTTAGTTCTCTTTAGACCGTCTCCAACCGAGCGGCAAAACGCAAAAAATGGGGGAAAATCTCTCTAATGGTACTGCAAACTCAAACCCAAAATGGGTTTTTGAGTTCCTCTCTCTTGATTTTGATGCAAATTTGCGTTCCTGCAAAGAAAATGCGTCTGTACTTCTATTATTCCAACTCAGTCCTTTTTATTTTTATTATACAAAGAATTTAAAATGTAAAAATAAAAATAAAAAAACGAAATTGTATGTGGTATGCGGAAACTAAACTGGAAGAGACACATTGGGTGATGTCAAAATAATGTTATCGCATTAGAATTTTATATGTATCATGTATCGACAACAACAACGACAAAGCATTTTAGTCCCAAACAAGTTGGGGTAGGCTAGAGATGAAACCCAAGTATCAATATTTTAATAAAAAATTATAATAAATTGAAATAATATAATTTTTCTATAATATGATATTTATCAGCATTTTATGTATGTGTATATATTATATTTAGTATTAGTAATTATTGTCAAGTTAAATACTGTTTTATATTTTTATTACTATATATTAGTATATTTTAAAATAAATTACAAGCAATATTAATAGTGTGGTTTAATTTGTAAAATGTAAAATATGTAAGTAGCATTGAAGAGTTGATGTCAAAGAGAATATTTATTTGAGTTTGAAAAAAGGTTTTTCGATTGGAGATGAATTATGACAAAATGTGTTCATAAAACACACACTCACAATAAGTCGGAACTCACCATCGTACGCCGAAACCCTTCTTCGCTTCCAATGTCATCTCCTTCAGTACCATCAAATATCAATGGAGTCCCTTTTATCCTCCAGCTTCACGACATCGCCGCCGTCAAATTCGGCAACTTCAAGCTGAAATCGGGCATCTACTACATCGACCTCCGCCTCATCGTCTATTGAGGGGGCTTTCGATCAGAATCAAGTTTGTCTCATTGTTGAGGATCTCGTTACCAGCGGCACGTCCGTTCTTGAGACGGCGGCGCCGCTTCGTAAGGTCGGGCTGAAGGTCACGGATGCCGTTGTTATGATTGATAGGTACTGATATCCTTCTAACTTTTAGAGGGGTAATGATGATTCTGATATAAATGTTAACTAATGTTTCAGAGAGTCAGCGTTGAGTGTCCAACAGCGTGCTTTTGTCTATCGTCTATCTGATTTCTTCAATTATTATTATTATTATTTTTATTTTTATGCATTACCATCCTCTGTGTTACATATTCCATTGGAACTTATCATGGAAATCAAAGAATTGCTGATTCTAGAGATCTACGAGTGCACTTTTTGTTTGCCTGTATATGTTTAACTCTCTTTGTCGTAATATTTCATTTTCCACCTTCATGCGTAGATTGGCTTAAAGCTTCTTACAAATTATCAATGTCTTCTCTGTGTGCATCCTGAACCCTCTTATGTGTTTTTCTTACAATTTATTGTTCTCTCGCTCACAATTTGGTAAAGGGAACAAGGAGGGAGGGAAAACTTGGCAGAGAACGGCATCACACTTCACGCAATGGTGAAGTTGAGTGACATGGTGACGATATTGAAGGAGAAGGGGAGAGTATCAGAGGAGACAAAGAAGGTGGTTATGAAGTTCTTGGAGGAGAATCGAAAGGTGTCAGTTCCCTTGGCGCCAGTATCTGAGAAGAAATTTGGAGTTAGAATTCCATTTGTAGAGAGGATGAAGATGGCAAAAAATCCAACTGGTAAAAAGTTGTTTGAGATAATGGTGCAGAAAGAATCAAACTTGTGCCTGGCTGCTGATGTTTCTTGATATTGCAGATAGGGTGAGTAATAAAAAATCAATATTCTGATTCTCCCCCTTCCCCCTTTCTGGAAGCTATATGTTTATATATCATCTGATTGATATTAAATTCATAAATGCATGTGCTTGTACAATGTCGCCGACGTAGTAAATCCTGATTGCCTATTGTTGGAATTTATAAACACCGATAACTTCTCAGTCCCAATTTCTGAAGCCATCCAAATATTGGTTCTTTTCAATGATTTTAAGTTACATCTGTTCCTTCTGTTATTCTGTCTGTCATGTGAATTTTTTTTTTTTTTTTGGTGAAATCAGATCCTCTGCATTTAATGTCTGAATGCATGGACCAAATTCTTCGCATCTGCAAATTTGTATTTCCTATACTTTAGGCACCCATTTTTAATAATTATAGGAAAATAATTTATTGTTATTAAATGCAGTAGAAGTCGGAAATGCAATTATAATGTATAAGTTGTCTTGAGGCTGATAAATTGGGAACATCATATCTCAGCACTTTTGTTTTGGCAAATTAGTTCTCCATTGGTGCTATTGTACTTTTGCCTGACAGTGCTATTTATTTCATAATTGTTTATGATCGATATGACTAAGATATTTCTTTTGCATTTGTTTTCTTGTCAATGATCTGGCCCCACCTTTGTTTTCTGCAGGTTGGACCTGAGATCTGCATGTTAAAAACTCATGTGGATATCTTGCCCGTTTTCACTCATGATTTTGGATCTAAACTTCGTTCGGTATGTCCCTGTTCACCAAATATTGTTCATCCCCAAAAGCGATATAGTGAATTCAGTTTATTGTTAGGAGGTCTATTATATCAAAAGTTCTAATTTTTCTCATGGATATATATTTATTCACCCCAACAGAACTAATTAGTCTTATTTACCTGTAAAGATGAATAAATGAAGAATTTATGAAGTGAATTGTTGTAAAACTCTGGAAACATTTGATCGCTATGCAAACTGCCTCAACTAGTGTGAACTTTTTGAAAATGGAAAAGATCTTGTGCTGCGACTTGCAAAAATCACGTCTACGTCCTAGTGATATGAATGTGCTATTCGTTGTTGCTCGAGTTTTTCTGTTGGTATGGAGTAAACTTCAGCTACAATTGATGGTGCTCAACTTTTTGAAGATTGCAGAGAAACATAACTTCTTGATATTTGAAATAGGAAGTTTGCTTATATTGGGAATACAGTCACTATGGAAGGGTAAGAGCTTGTTCTTTCTTAGATTTAACCGACTTATGCTTTCCTTGAGATTTTTCTTCTGGTTTATGCAGGGGTAATTTCCGCATATTCCGCATACTGGATTGGGTAGATATATGCTCGACCAGATGCATTAATCTCATTTATTCGGCCGAGCCCCTGGACCGTCTAATATATACAATATCCCATATCATCTAGTCCCTACTCTCCCCACTCTGATCGAGTATAAATGACTCGATCTAAGAGTAGATTTTTGTCTGCGCCCTCGATCGTTGTTGTATCCACTTCCATTTTCAACCAGCTAATGCATCATTTTTCTTTCTTTGGTTCGTTGTTGTTTTGTCGTCTAATTTGAATTTTGAAATTCAAATGCCGCCACCTGTCAGAAGCGTCCCTTCATCTGTCAGGTTTCATCATTGCTCTGTGATCCTCGTTGTTCGAATCCCGCATCCACTTTAATACTCCTCCTATGATAGTCGTAGGATCCACCGCTTTAATCTTACGTCTGGTATTACGACGCCTGTTCATTTGTTTTTTCAGCGTGCATCTCACCTCCATCTAACGGTTGGCGTTCTTCCTTTCCTATTTTCATTAATTTTCACGCCTTTTTCACTTCTTTTGGGCACCTCAAAAGTCGCGTTCAGAACATCTTTTTTATTTTGTACTGTGTCAAGCAAAACGACAACGTTTTGTGTATTCATGTGTTCCGTCTTTTTACTTTATTGCCCTCACTTTTTTAATAGCATTAATATGGTCTCCATACCATTTCGGTAACTTCCTTTGACCCGCTTCCTTCTCAACTAAGTCTCACCACACCACATTAATTACTTGCTTCAGCGGGACAACAAAAGCTTATTTTCTTCATTTATCCCAACGGCGAAACTCGAACCTCTCTGCCAAAGAATTCAAACACGCTTGGAAAGCCATTAGGTGTTGGAAACCCTCCTGGGCCAACACTTTTGAGAAGCTCGATAAGGTAAATCACTGTCGTTTTAATAGCTTACTCCAATTGCCATTTTAGGTTGGTTCTTCGAACAATTGATTCTTGCTAGCAATTTGGATCCCCTATTATGACTTGGAAATTCAGCTGTTGCGAATTCTGGCAGGCTTTGAATATACTTATTGATACCCAAATCCAAAATTCAGCCATATCTACCTGAATGTATCGCGGGAATGAAGATGATTCGCTGCTGACCAAGTCTTTCTATCTCACTGTTGCCACCCCCACCAGATCTCCCTCACTCTCTGGCCTCGAACCTCGGCCCCTCTCTCTCTCTCTCTCTCTCACTCTCACTATCACTCTCTTCAGCTCGCGTCATAGGCCTTGTCGTCGCAGCTTCTCCCTGCACTGTCGTCGGTCAATCGTCGTCCTTCCCATCGCTGTCGCCGCTAGGGTTTCTTGCTTTCAGAAATTCGCCGCTAGGGATTTTTTTTGCTTTCGATTAGTCAAGATTAATTCATCTAACACATCCTTCTCAATGTACTTCAAAACAAATTAGATAAGTCAAACTCAATCCATCTTGTAATCTTTCTGGATGTACTTCATGAAAGAAGGCAGAAGCGATCTTTCAGATGATTGACATTATAAATGCCAATAAATAAGTCGGCCACAACACTGAAATCATTAGTTCGAATGCTCTTACAAGATCCCTATCAAGTAGAAGGAGCTTAGTTTGCGAGTAAAAACCACCATTGTCTCTGAAAGAATGAACCTTGCAATGCCTAATGGCACGCAAAAGGAAGGAAGCACCTTGAACGATCTGCATACTTGTATAAGTTTTTCCATCAAGATTGTTCCGGAGATCAGTGGAAAACCGTAACATTTATCACGCAGTGTATCCTTGTTTTTCTCCATTCCCAAGAGATGCCACGTATTCGTGCGTGTCGACTAAAAATTGTAGTCTTTTGTCCGATGTCCAAAAAAATGAATGATTTAAGATTTCTTGGGCAATAGGCCTGAAAAAAAAAAAAAAGAGATAAACCATAACACAAAAGATTATAAGATGTGCAACTGATGTCCTACTATAGTTCATAAAACAAGAATGTAATTCTTAACTCACGTTGCCATAAGATGAGCAACTAAATGAATGACCTCTTTTTCGAAAATCTTCTTTAAAGACGTCCCCAGAAATTTATGAGTACCAAAGATAGGTAGTCCCCTGATGATATCATGCCCTTTGCGACCAAGTCCAAGGAGGTTTGGGACAACGTGTCGTCCTCACAATAACGTAGGACAAATCTTCAACATCACTTTTCTTCTTCCTTTGTGGTAAAACTAAAATAGAAATAAAACATCCTGTGTTGGTAAATCGTAAACAAAATGGTAATTTAAAACATTTGAAATTACAGAGTAATCATGACTCCTGATATTTTAATGCCTCCTAAATCAATTTGTAGAAAATCATCCGTGAACACAAAGGATTTAAAGCTCCTTAATCCCACGTGATATTTTCCATTCTCGTGGATGAAAATCAAAGCTTCAACAATTTGTTTCAAAACGTTCTGTGTGCTCCGCAAGGCACTATCTGTTTTAAGGAAGACTAAATTAATTATATAAATAAGTTTCAGATTCACTTAGAGCAGCCTGAAAATATGAGGATGTAAAATTGATGATGTCTTCAACAAAGGTCATGATAGTAATTATCGTGAAGAGAGTTTTTTATTCTAGTGACTCCTGTACGCAGAGCAGACAACTTTCGAAATTGAAACACAAATTTATATAAGTTTTTTTTTTGCTGACGGATTCCTCCCCTCTTCACTACTAAACAGATCTCACATGGGAACTGATTCAATAATTTTCAACAAAGAACGATATACGCAAAAACCGCAAAAATAAAAAATCAGTTGGAAAAAATAAATGTACCTCTTCCTTATTTTTTCCAACTAGTTTTTATTTTTGCGGGTTTTGCGAATATTGTGCTTTGTTGAAAATTTATGAACTAATTCTCATGGGAGATCTGTTTAGTAGTGAAGAGAGATGAAACAGTCAACATATTTTTCTTTTAGAAATTTGTGCTTCAATTTTGAAAGTTTCTGCTCTGCGTACATGAGTCACTAGAAAGTAATACTCTTCTCCATAATTACTTTCACAACCTTTTTCCTAATGGCTTATACTGTCATTTTCATGGAAGACATCATCAATTTTACACCCTCATATCTTTAGGCTGTTTTAAGTGAATCTGAAACTTACAACTGCTTTTCATTTATATAATTAATTTAGTCTTCCATAGTGCCTTGCGGAGCAAATGGAACGTGTTGAAGCAAATTGTTGAAGCTTTGATTTTCATCCACGAGAATGGATGTTATCACATCAGATTAAGAAGCTTCAAATCCTTTGTGTTCACGGATGATTTTCTACAAATCGATTTAGGAGGTATTAAAATCTCGAGAGATAGGATTATTATAGTAATTTCAAATATTTTAAATTACCATTTTGTTTACAATTTACCAACACGTGAGTTCTATTTCTATTTTAGCTTTACCACAAAGGTAAAGAAAGAGTGATGTTGCATATTTGTCCTACGTTATTGCCAAGTTCTTTGGAGGAGGACACGCTGTCCCAAACCGCCTTGGACTTGGTCACCAAGGCATGATATCATCAGGGGACTGCCTACCTTTGAAGAAGATTTTAAAGAAGATTTTCCAAAAAAGATGCCATTCATTTAGTTGCTCATCTTATGGCAACGTGACTTGAAAATTACATTCTTGTTTTATGAGCTATAGTAGGACACCAGTTATATATCTTATAATCTTTTGTGTTATGTTTTTTCCTCTCTTTTTTTTTTACAG